TACCAAGCACACACAAACATACCCTAATGATATCGAAGGCGTATTTTTCGCCGGCACTCCACTGCCCTAATACTGCTCCCTCGAGATGACAGGCCTCGGTGTTCAGTAGAAACATATCGGTGTAGTTGTGCTGTATTTCCGATAGGAATCCATCGGGATAACCACCCATCCCTTGGTTGCCATACCAGTGATAGGCGATGCCCGACACGTATTTCGCTGCCTCCCTGTCCGCTAGTATAGGCGGTACGAACTTCTGGAAACCGGGGAGATTCTCGTCGAATACCATTAGATTGAGTTTGTCTTTGCCATACCCGGCCTTCGCGAGGGTCGGACCCAAATTGAGTTTCACGAAATCCCGTTCCGTAGGGCCGGTTAGGTTCAGGCAGTTGAATGGGTGCCCAGGGTACTGTCCCCCTACCGGTTCATTCTCGACTGTAAGCCCCCATAGGTTTATGTCATGCGATTTGTATGCGTCCAGAAATCTGCGGTAAACGTGAGGTTTAAGTGTTTTGATGAGTTTAAAGCGTATATGAAATGCAAATTACTTCACGAAATAGTTGGCCCACGTCTGGTAGTATTCGCCGCCGATGTCACCCCTTATGACTCCACTCTCGTTGAACTTGTGGTTAGTCTTCATCCAAGAGGGGGGACTCCAGGGGCTGCCGAAGAGTTTTATTTTATGCGGACTTACTTTCAGTGCTCTTTGAATGTATGGGATCTACGAATCAGTTATTATGTATTAGTTTTGAATACAAAGTTATGTTAAATAAAGTTAAAGAGTTTTTGCATACTTTCCACTCCAAGTCCTCCTTTTGAAGAGCAAAGTGTTTGAGCTCCAGATCATCGTCGACGTCATCGTAAGAGTAGGGTTTGTCCGAGTAGTCAGTGCCGGCTATCGGTATTCTGGCCATTGAGTACTCGATGCCATTGTCTGAGAAGTAGCTATCAATCAGCAGATCAGCCAACGATTGGTTGACTGTCTTCAGCATCTGTCCCGTAGTGTCAGTGAAAGCGCCGCCAAATCCGAAGATTGTCTGATATTTCTGTGTCTTATCGATAGTCACGACAACCGTTTGGTCGGCCGTTGAGTCGATGGTTGAGCCGAACTGGAGTTCCGTTTCCTTAAACCTTTCTCCGGCTTTATTGCTCTCATAAACCGTAAGGAAACCACTCTTTGGGCGCTTGAGGGCCGGGAAGTCATCACAATATGTTTGGTTACAGACACAGACTGTGTCCGCGTTTTCCACTTTTCTTACGATACATTCCCGTCGGGCGCCGACTGTTTGTATTTAAATCAATGATAGTTTCTCAGAATATAATTGCAATTAAAATTTTTTATAAATACCATTTATAACAAAAAAGGTTATAACGAGTAAAACACTAAATATTTTATACATATTTGTTGCCAACACTTAACATACAGTATATAAAAAACAAAACTCTACCCTATTTATATGATTACCCAGCTTAAATAGTAATAAATAGTAAAGGCGTACAACACTAGTTGGTTTCTGGAAACCATACCTGTGCGCCAATGGTCTGTAGGAATGAGAACGGACCTAACTGTACCCTGAATAAGATAATAAGTTATTTATTCTATATCATTTATGAAAGTGCTCCAATAATTTTAGATATACAGTATTATTAAATAATGGTGCAGTATCAAACTGATAAAATTAATTATACGTTTACCTGTCCTATAAATTTAGTGCAAGTTAATGTTAGTTGAAGTTTTATATGGCATAAAAATAAAATAATATTCACCAGGTATAATGAATTTGAAACAAATATTTATAGACATGAATAATGATTTTACACTTATTTTAGTGGATAATTTTGAAAGTCCGCCATTAATAAATCAATACTCCATTATGAACTCCACTATACTGTTTGTAATATCTCAATTAATAAGTACATAATGACCTAGGTATACAACTAATAAGCACGTTATACTGTAGTATAGTATTCTGTAGTTTGCAAACTAAAGATTTCAATTATTTTGTACATTAATTAATGCATACATTAATTACAGATTGCTCTGAACGGACAGGTAGTAGTATAAGGCAAACTCGAGGGTGGGGGTCGACACGTAGTATACGACAAACAGCGGATATTTGTAAAAGTCGTTCAAACGGGCGGTTAGTTTAGTGAGTAGGTTGTGCTCGACGATGGCTTTCATCAGTTGGTACTTATTGCCGGTGCGGACACAGGACTCCAGTTTCAAATTGATTTGCATGAACTGGTATTTGAGGTAACCGGTGGTCAGGTGGCACACAACAAAACACACGCATAACATGGCGTAGGCATGTGTCGAGAAAACGAGAGTACAGGCGCTCCAAAATAGCACGTATAGCAGGCAATTGTCGTGGTTATCGGGGCTCAAGTAGGAGACCATTATGGTAGCGAACAGTGCGACAAACGTGAGCGCCATTAGCCCTATAAACACACCCGACAGCACGGTGTTGGTCACCGCCGAGCAGTTCGTGGAAAGCCTACTCTCGAGCGTAGGGTTCAGTCGTATGCGAAAGCGTCGACACTTGAGATCGTTGAGGTTCTTAGTGTCTTATCAAATATTTAGTTTATAATATATTTATATGATTTATAAGGTTTGGAAATAATTATTGTTTTGAGAGACCACTAAAATATTATATGAATCCCTGTCCCAAAAGCAAACTATTTCATGTAATTGTCTTAAAATACAAATAATATTTTGCAAAATATAGTCCACCGGATAATAAGTGTATAAATAAACGTGTATGTTTTAAATTA